CCCCCGTCGCCCCCCCCCACCCAAACCCCAAACCCTAAACCCTAAACCCTAAACCCTACCATCAAATAAGCCTCAATCCTTTGCGAGTGTTCGGGCCCGAGTTGCTTGCCAACTCCCCCGGGGCCCCTTATCACCAAAGGAACACTAAACTGCCCCCCGCTGGTGGCTCTGACCATTCCTGCATTGTTAGAGAGTTGATTAAACCCTAAAAGCAAAAACCCTAAATTCATTCCTTCAACAACTGGCCTCAAACCCGCCATGGCGGCTCCAACCCCTAACCCTAAAAAGGTGTTTTCGCAAATTGGAGTGTCTAGACACCGGAAGTTCCCGTGCCGGAAGTGCAGCTCCCGAGTCGCCTTGTAAGAGCCGCCGTAGTGACCCACGTCCTCCCCTAAACCACAAATCAGGGTTTGCAGCCAACCCCGAGGGCTTAGGGTTTAGGGTTTGGGGCTTGGAGGCAGCCCTCGAGGGTTTAGGGTTTGGCGTTTAGGGGTTAGCGTCTAGGCTTTGAGCTTCAGCGGCCAGCGTTTAGGGTTTGGGGCTTAGGGTTTGGGGTTTGGGGTTTAGGGTTTGGGGTTTAGGGTTTAGGGTTTAGGGTTTAGGGTTTAGGGTTTGCCTAGGATGCAGACTGTGGGGTCTCGCTCCATCTCCTCCGCCATGGCCATGTGGAGGGCTTGATAAATAGTGCGTTTGACTTTCCAGTCTTTGACGCTTTTGCCATTCACAAACTCCCCCTCCACCACAGCCTCCTGCGCAAACCCTAAACCCTAAACCCTAAACCCTAAACCCTAAACCCTAAACCCTAAGCGGGGGCTCCTCCGCGGCGCAGCGCGCCAAGCGGCGCAGCGAGGGCCCCGAGGCGGGAGGAAGAAACGCGAACTAGGCTTTGCGCTCTGGGCCTAGGGTTTAGGGTTTAGGGTTTAGGGTTTAGGGTTTAGGGTTTACGGCTGGGGGCTGCTGGGCCTTCAGGATCTGGCGAGTCTTGCTTTTTAAAAGAGAAGAAGCAAACTGCGGAGCCTTGGGGGTTTGGGGGGGCCCCATGAGGGTCGGGGGGGCCCCCAGGGGGGCCCCCGGGGGGCCCCCCGGGGGCCCCCCTGGGGGCGCGAGCTGCCGAGTTACCCGGAAGGCTGCAGCGGGCAGCAGAGCAGCAGCAGCAGCAGCAAAAAGGACAGCAGCAGCAGCAGCAGCAGAACAGGGGCCTCGGGAGCGGCGGAGAAGGTTCATGGCGGTTTGGAGGAGAAAAACGAGGGTTTAAAGGCGAGACACGGGGCGGAGAAACCCTAAACCCTAAACCCTAAACCCTAAACCCTAGGAGACGGAGCGCCGCAGCCCGCGAACGGAAACGAGACAGCCAGCGACAGACATCCACGAGCTTCCAATTAAAACAAAACGCGAAGGTTCTGTTTCAAAACCCTTTCTGCGGTGTGCCCAAACCCTAAACCCTAAACCCTAAACCCTAAACCCTAGCGCCCGTCGTCCGCTGCTCTGGGGGTTGCCAGCAGCCTCACAACAGCCCCGAAGAGGCCCCAGCTCCGCTTCTATTCTGTCTTGCATTTATTATTTTTAATTTTAATTTTAATTTTAATTTTAATTTCATTTATTTCTACTTTTCGCTCCCCTCGCGCAGTCGCGGCCGCTCCTCCCGGGTGTACGTACATACACCCCAGCGCCGCCGCCAGAACCCCCCCTCTCCCCAGCGCCATTCGGCGCTTTTTTCGCCCAATTAGTTCTTTAAATTCCTTTTAATTCATTTATTTGCACTTTTAATTCAAAATTATTCATTTTGAGCCTTTAAAATCCAACTTTCCGCCTTTTTCCCGCGCGATCCCGACGCCAGCTGCGCAGCAGCAGCAGCAGCTAGGCTGCCTCAGTCCATTCATTCAAAACAACCCCAGTTAATTCATTTTATTTATTTATTTATTTATTTATTTTAATGTTATTTATTTTATTTATTTTATTTACTTTTATTTTGTTTTTAATCTCCACAAAAGCCAACGCGCAGCAACGCCTTCAGAGCCCCAGCCCGCGGCTCCACCAAACTCCCCCCGTGTCTTGCACAGCCACAGCTAGCCACAGCTAGCCACAGCTAGCTACAGCTAGCCACGGCTAGTCACGGCTGGCGGGGGCTGCCCATAGTTGGCCAGAGCTAGCCACAGTTAGTTAAATCTGGCCGCAGCTGGCCTAAGCTAGCTCCAGCTAGCTACAACTGGCAGCAGCTAGCCACAGCTAGCTGCAGCTAGCTGCAGCCACCTACAGAGGGCTGTAGCCTGGGGCAGCTAGCCACAGCTAGCCACTACAGCTGGCCACTGCCCACGGCGAGCCACAGCTAGCAACCTCTAGCTGCAGCTAGCCACAGCTAGCCACAGCTAGCCACAGCTTGCTGCAGCTAGCCACAGCTAGCCACAGCTAGCCACAGCTAGCCACGGCTTGCTGCAGCTAGCCACAGCTAGCCACAGCTAGCCACAGCTAGCCACAGCTAGCCACAGCCAGCCACAGCCAGCAGCATTTTGCCGAAACATTGGCCCCAGCTAGCTGCCAGTGGCTACCCGCAGCTAGCCATGGCTCCTCATGTAAAATGAGAACCAGCCCAGAGTCTTAACAGCTAGCCACAGCTAGCTACAGCTAGCCTCAGCTAGCCACAGCTAGCTACAGCTAGCCACAGCTGGCTAAGGCTTGCTAGAATTCAATACAGCTAGCTACAGCTAGCTAGAGCTAGCTACAGCTAGCTACAGCTAGCTACAGCTAGCTACGTTCGGGTTAAATATATGTCGGGAAGCAGAAAGATAAGAAACGAACCGCTAAACCCAAAGCCCTAAACCCTAAACCCTAAATCGGTGGAAAGGAACAACGTATAAGAGAAGGCACAAGGGTATGTCGCGGAAGAGACTCCAGTGCAGCAGCAGCAGCAGTAGCTGCAGCAGCAACAGCAGCAGAAACAACAATGGCAGCAGCAGCAACAGCAGAAGGAGCAGCAATAGCAGCAGGAACAGCAATAGCAGCAGCAGCAGCAGCAATAACAACAGCAGCAGCAATAGCAGCAGCAGCAGCAGCAGCAGCAGCATTTTCTACTGGTGCAGCATACCTTTGCCATATGTTTACATTTATGCATTTAGAATTATATTTTAATTTATATTTTTAATTTATATTTTTAATTTATATTTTTAATTTATATTTTTAATTTATATTTTTAATTTATATTTTTAATTTATATTTGTTTAATAATTCTTTAATGTTAATTGTTTGAGTGTACAGACACCTGCCCATGTGGCTCGAACTTGTTTTTCATTTAAATGAAATAAATTGAATAAAATAAAAGTGAATTAAAACATATAAATAAATAAAAATATAAATACTTCAATTATTATATTTCAATTTATATTTATGGAGTGTAATTACAGAAAAGTTTTCATTTTGAACAATTTCATCTTGTGTGTTTCAGGTGTACGTACACTGCACGCCACAGCATGCATTTATTTGCGAATTTTTAATTTCAGATTTTTCATTTATTTCTTTTCAGATTATTCAAATACGATTGGAGGCATGTTAGCTGAACAATGCTGCTGTTTCTATACAAGGGTTTAGGGTTTAGGGTTTAGGGATTAGGGTTAGGGTTTAGGGCTAGGGTTTAGGGTTTAGGGCTAGGGTTTAGGGTTTAGCTTTAGGGTTTACGGTTTAGGGTTTACGGCGTTTTCAAGGGCCTCCATTATATTTCTTTTTACAGTTTTATTTTTATTTTATGATTCAAAGATAACCGAATTATAATTCAAAATGGAAAAATTAAAGAATTAATAAAATGGAATTCTTTTATTTAATTTAATTTAATTCGAGATTTTAATTAAATTGCGAAATAAGTTTTTATAGTTCTAAAAGACTTTTATAATTCCACATTTTGATTTTTTCAAATCTTTTTTTGTTTTCAAAATTTTCGCCAAATCTTCTCTTTTTTTCTCGTTTTCACTTTTTTATTTAATCTTTTCCACTCAATCTACTTTTGGTTTTTTTCAGTTTTATTTCGACTCAGATTTATTTTTTTATTTGCATTTTGTTTATCTTTTAACTTTTATTTTAATCCTTTTATATTTGCATTTATATATATCTTATATTTATGTTGTATTTAATATTATATTACATTTATATTTTCTTCGCATTTGTACTAACATTTGCGCCTGCTTTGGTGAAACATAAGACCAGAACATGAATGCAAAAGCCTGCCTTTTTTAAACCCTAAACCCTAAACCCTAAACCCTAAACCCTAAACCCTAGCGGTTGCGTGTGCGCTGGCGTGCGCGTTTGCCCAGGCTCTCTGCACCTTTAGTTTCCCTAAATAGGAAATGATTAAGTGGAGAGTTTTGAAGTTTTGAAAAATGATTAATTGAAGAGTTTTGAAATTGAAAAAGTGTTGAAGTGTGAAAGTGAGGCTGCCGCGGCGTGTGGTGTACGTACACCTCGGCGCAGAGAGATCCAAGAAGCCAGTTTTGTCGGTTTTCAACTTTTATTCTTTTTTAAATCTAAACCTAATAAATGCGGCTTTCAACTTTTATTCTTTTTTAAATTTAAATTTAATAAATGCAGCGGCAGCAAAGCGCGTCCGCGCTAGCTTTCGGGTGTCACTACAGCTGCGGCGGCCCGCAGCCGACGGGCGGCCGCTGCAGAGTCCGCCAGAGGCGAATTTGCGGGGAAAATGGAGGAAATTGGATGAAATAAAAAGGAAATTGGAATAAAAATAGTTGAAGTTGAGGCGGAAAAGAATTAAAAGAACTGAAGAGCAGTTGGGCGAAAAGCAGCGCAGAAGAAGCTTCCTGCAGGGCGCACAGACACCGCGTGCGGCAGCGCGTACAGCCCACGCAGCAGCGGCGCCGCAAATTCCATTTTTTTCTTTTTTTATTCAAAACTTTGGAAATAAAACAAATTTAAAACTGCAGAGTTGCTTTTAAAGCGCGAAAAACGCAGCCGGGGCGCCCAGAACCTGCTCTGCTAGCTGCCTCGGCGCGCCCGCCACTGCGGGTGGAGTTGGCGCGTCGGCGGCGGCGCGCGGCGTTTGTTCTTTCCAAAAAGAACAAAAATACAAAACAAAAACTATTTAATTCAACATTTTTCAATTCTGAACGCCGTCGGTGCCGTTTCTGTCTCGCAGCTGCCCCGCGCAGAAAGTGCCGATCTGCGAGGTGTGCATACACCTGAAACCCGTTCTTCAAGTTTTCGCATTTCGCAACCTTCAAAGCGAAACACTTTTCAATTTTACTTTTTTAAAACAGATTTGAGGCTCCATTTCCGTTTATTTTTCTCTTTCTCGCGGTCATGAGACGTCTCTCCCTCCTGGGAGCTGCAGAAGGTGCTTCTTCTTGCTGTCAACCCCGCGAGAGTCTCGTTCAGCCTCCCGATCTCTTGCTTTTTTTTCGTTTTTGAGTTCAATTTGCAATTATTGAGGAAAAATAAAACAAAAGAAACACTTCTGCGCGAAAAAAGCGCCAAAAAGCAGCAGCTTTTCCTCTTTTCGAGTTTTTCTCCTCCCGGAGTTGAACTGGACCACCCGCTCCCGAGCTGTACGTACACCGCAAGCTCCCCAAATGGCGCTGCAAAAACGGAAAAGTTTCTTTTCTTTCATTTTCATTTTCACTTTCCTTTCGGGGCTCCTTCTGCACTCCAGGGCCACCACTTCTCCCCCCCAAGAAGCTGCCAGCTTTTACCAACTTTTAAAACTCTCAAAGTGAGTTTAAATGCCTTTCCAAATTGCCCCCGTTCTGCTCTTCAGGTGTACGTACACCTCACGGCTGTTCGGGTGTACGTACACCTCGCCGCAGCCGCCCCGCAGCTCTCGCCATCTTCGCTTTCTTTCTTTTCTCGAAGGGCGGCAGCAGCAGCAGCAGCAAAACCCCGAGAGAGAGATCAATGTATTTGCTGCAGCAGCAGCTGCTGCTGCTGCAGTTGCTGCAGCAGCAGCAGCAGCAAAGCATTTAAGACCGCGCTGCTGCGCAGCGCTGCCTGCATTCCCCACTCCTAATCCATTTAATCTTTATTTATTTATTATTTATTTATTTATTTATTTATTTATTTATTTATTTATTTATTTATTTATTTATTTATTTATTTATTTATATTACTTATTTATTTATTTAGAGGGGCGACGGAGACGGAGGTGAAGAGGGCCTACCGGCGGCTGTCTCTGGAGCTGCACCCAGATCGGGTGAAATTGAAAAATGGAGATTTGAAAAAAGCAGAAGAGACTTTTCAACAAATCAACAAAGCTTACCAAGTCCTCTCCAGTAAGTCTTAACAGCAGCAGCAGCAGCAGCAGCAGCAGCAGTGGCAGCAGCAGCAGCAGCAGTGGCAGTAGCAGCAGCAGCAGCAGCGGTGGAGCGGCAGCAGCAGCAGCAGCAGGAGTGGCAGCAGCAGCAGCGGCATCCGCAGCAGCAGAAGCCGCAGCACAGCAGCAGCAGCAGTGTCTTCGTCCTAACCTTTACCAGCACCAACACCAGCAGCAGCAGCAGCAGCAGCACCAGAAGCAGCAGCAGCAGCAGCAGCAGCAACAGCAGCAGCAGCAGCAGCAGCAGTTGAAAATCCAATTTGGGGTCCCTGCAGCTGCAAACACCGCCAAACTGAGCGGAAATAAAAGCAAAACAAAACAAACAAACAAATAAGAATAAATAAATAAATAAACAAATAAATAAATAAACAAACAAACAAATAAATAAATAAATAAATAAATAAATAAATAAATAAATAAATAAATAAATAATGGCGTTTGCGCAGACCGGCGGTCGCGGCGGCTGTTCGACGTGTACGGGCCGCTGTGGGAGTCGCAAGAGGTTTATTACTTGGAGTTGGAAAAGTCGAAAAAAAAAGAAATTTATAATTTTAAAAATGGAGTTTTTCTTTTGAGTCTTTCCAACTTGCATTTGCTGCTCCGCAGCAGTCCGTACACCTGGGTGGTGGCCTTTTACCAGGCGGGCTGCGCCAGTTGCGAGCAAAAGGTGCATTCATTTCTTTTTTTTTCTTTTTTTTCATTTTTTTGTTTTTTTGTTTTTTTGTTTTTTTTGTTTTTTGGTTTTTTGGTTTCTTTTGCTTTTTTGATTCGTCCCTTTGCTGCGCATCTGCTGCTTTCTGGCTGCCGCGGCGTCCTTTTTGCTGCTCCCCACGACACGGGGAACTCGACCTGCTGCTGCTGCTGCTGCTGCTGCTGCTGCTGCTGCTGCTGCTGCTGCTGCTGCAGCAGCAGCAGGGGTTCAGTGCAGTTCCGCTCAGTTAGGCCCCCCAACAGGGAACAAAGAGCAGCGAACAAACGCACCTCCTCCCACCTCTACTCTGCTGCTGCTGTGCTGCTGCTGCTGCTGCTGCTGCTGCTGTGCTGCTGCTGCTCAGGTTCCTTTTTTTTCAGCACTTGGGGAACAGACTCTGAAGACTCCGGGAGTTCGGCTGGCGATGGCCAACTGCATGACTTCTGCAATTTGCAATTATTTCGGAGTTCGAGAATTAAATCAAATCTACTTGTTTCCCCCCCAA